TGTCGAAGTGTTCATTGTTTTTCCAAAATTTGTTTAAGATCAATTAGCACGTGCCCTAGGATTTGTGTGGTCCCTGAACTAAATAAATATATCAATAAACACAGTCGTGTGGCCTCTAAATAAATAGATCAATAAAAACATAGTCAAGTGGCCTCTTCCCTAACAACAACAAAGTGCAGCACAACCTTCAAACAAATCAAATAGTTTCTAGAAAGGAAAATGGATTTATGACTTTCAAAAGTGAATAAACAAACTTAATCAATATCCTCTCCCTCTTTATCTCTATGTAATTTTGTAATGTAAATAGAACAACCACATGTGAGAGGGGATGGGTTTTTGCAGGAAACTTGACTTTCAACCAACCCAGTTTTCTGGTTTTCTTATCGGTGTGAACTTACCAGCCTGGTATTTTGATTATTCCGATTATCCCAGTACTATAAGTAACCACTACTCATAACGAGAACCATAATCCATTACAACTTTTAAGGTGCCTTGTACTATAAGTAACCACTATATCTATTTGATGATTGCTTGGCCAGATCTTGAGGATCCACTTTATAACCATAAGCATGGGGGACAAACCCTAATCACTGATATTTGTATCTCCACTTGAAACATACATATAAAAGGGAGGATAAAACCCTAATTCCCTGATTATTTATCTAATATACCAAGTTTGTTGTTAATGAATGCATGATGTGTTTGATGATCTAATGGAAGTTATATGCATGAGGAGTGTGAGATGCTTAAGCCATATGATTTGAATGAAAGGGTAGGACAAATTTGGGGTATGTCACAGATGTGGGAGGGGAAGGTGGTGGTGTGGGAAAAATGGAATCTAATTGTTCAGAGTTGTGTTGAACTAAGTTAGTTGAGGGTGAAGAATGGGGGGAGGTTGAGATGTAAAAAGTGAAAGGTATATTAGTGTAATTATTGTCATTGGTTTGTTTGTGTATGGACATGGGAGTGGTATATGGAAAGGTGTTTTCATAGAAAACACAATCCTTAGAAATGATTCTACCCCTAGTGTGAAGATCAAAGAGTAAGTAACCATTACTTGCATTAGGATAGCCTAGAAAGATACATTTAGTAGCCCTTGGGTCAAGTTTATCTCTATGCCTAGTAATGGTGTTAGCATAGGTTAAACATGCAAAAATCTTGAGATATGTAAAGGTTGGTGTTTCCTTAAAGAGGAGCTAATAGGGTGTACTGTTATGAATGGTGGGACTGCATAATCTATTAATAAGGCATGTAGCATGACATAAAGAAAAAGACCAAAAACATTTAGGTAAGTTGGCATGAAATAAAAGGGATCTAGTAACATTGAGGAAATGCATATATTTTCTCTCAACAATGGAATTTTATTGAGGAGTTTTTATGCAACTTCTTTGATATAGGATACCTAAGGAGGCATAATATGAGGGCATGAGGAATTCACTACCGTTATCACCTATAATAGTTTTAATTTTGGCAGAAAATTGAATTTGGCAATAAGCAATAAAATTATAAATGTTAGTCCTAGTTTCAGATTTGTTGTGCATTAAAAAAATTCAAGTATATCTTGTAAAATCATCCTGAATAGTAAGAAAGTATTGGAAACCATATATCAAATTCACAACTATGGGGTCTCATATATTCATATGCAACAATTTAAAGAAGCATGTGTAATGGAATTACTATTAGGAAAAGGTTATCTACATTGTTTAGCTAAAGGCAAGCATGGCATGACATATTTTTATGATATTTAATATCAGTAAAGGATTTAGGCATGTGTTGCAACACTTTATTAAAAGGGTGGCCCGATTTGTAGTGCCATATATCAAAATTACTAGATAAAGTATCATTATTCAAGTTATCAATGTTACAAGAAAAAGTAGGAAATGATGTGTGTCTGTATTTGTGCAAAATGTAGAGGTTCCTATGTTGGACCACTTGACCAACTGTCTTCTTTGTAGATACATCCTAAATATGACAAGAATCACGTGAGAAGGTAATGTGATATTTATAATTGTGACATAATTTAGTAATAAATATGAGAGTGAATCCAAACTTAGGAATAAAGAAAACATCATATAATATGAAGGAAGGATCAAGAATAATAGTTCTTGAGAAATTGACAATGATGTTGTTCCCATTAAGGAGTTGAATTTGTATGGGGTCAATAAGCCTAATTGCATAAAAACACTTGATGCAGGGTCATACATGATCAAGTGCCTCTGAATCAAGAATCCATGTGAAAAATAAGGTTAAATCAGTACCTTTGTTGAAGATACGTGAAATGGTGTGAGAGATGAGGCCTTTGTCGTTAGTGGAGTGTTGATCATTCTTCTTGGATTGTTGTAAAAGAAGAAGTAGATGCTGACGGTGTTCCTTCAAGATTATGCCATCCTTATTTGCATTGTGAAAGGACTTAGAGTCTGAAGGTTTGTTGTTATTTGTACGATATCTAGGTGGAAAATCATGTTTCAAGTAGCAGGATTCCACCGTGTGGTTGGTTTTATTGCAGTGGATGCACGACATCGAACCTTTATTAGGAGTTATCCTTCTTCCACGACCAATGTTGGCGTAAAGGACGGTGAGAGTGATGCTGAAGGGAGAAGGCGATGAAACTTCTTGTTGTGCAATCGGTGATTAGGCGCGACTAATGTTTGGAAGAGGATTAGGAAGGAATATTTGGGTGTGGTTTCGAGAGATCCATAAGAGTACCATGCTGTTAGCACATTCCCGTAGCTCGAAATCTTGGTGAGACAAAAGCGGCTTCGAGAGCGTTTCATTGATGAAACCAAGCTTGTTATTGGATGTGAGAGCACGACACATGAATTTGCTCTAGTTGTGATAGTTGTTGTTATTCAACGGTGGTGCCACAAGAACGACATCGAGGTTTTCACTAGGATCCAGGTAAAAAGGGTTTATGGAATTCAAGATGGGATCTTGAGAATCATTTTTGTTGTTGGATGTGGTGGTGGAATCTTTGATGACAGGATCCTCGTGTTTGGAATCGCCATCGGAAGCCATGGAAATCATGAAAAAAAATTATGGACGATGATGAAAGAATGAAACCCTAGATGTGTAAGAGAAATAGAAAATGAAAGGAAAGGCGAAAAAAATTTACATCTGATACCATAATGCAGAAATGAATAGCAAATGACTCATTGAGTCGGAATTCATATTATTCTATTTCTTGTTACCATACAAAGATAGACAAGTGTCTTATATAGATGTTTGAGCCCAGAAAAAACATCCATAAACAACATAACCCAAATCCAATAGAAAAATAGTCCTATATATCTAATACTTTTAGATATTTTAGAAGAATTTAATTAAAATACATTGACGGTTACACCGTCAATTAATCATAGCCAATAAATGTTTTAAAAAAATTATTTTTATTTTAATCACTTATAAAATAAAACAAACGAATGATGATGACTTATACTTTTAGATATTTCATTTTAGAAACTCCATTTTACATATTTTTTTTTAAATAATTTTCTTTCTCTTGTTTTGAAGAGCTTTGTCCTTAAAAAACAATTGTTTTTTTTCTTTTCAAAAACAATGATTATAGAGGTGTAAGGTAAAATATAAGTCATCATTTGCCAAAAGATAAACATGAGAGAAATAATATATTCCACCTCACCACAATAGACATTGACCAATTTTTCTATTTTGAAAAGGCATTTACTTGGCCATCATTAAGGGCTCTGCTGCCCAAGCAAGTATGGCAACAACCATTAACCAACCAACGCCCATTTCTTCCTCCAGCTTAAAATTTAAGTCATTCCCATTCACACAACCCCCATTTTAAAGTCAAACCTCATATTATATATACCTAAAAATCTAACAATTTCTTCACGTTACACAAATAAATCTACACCCATATTTTGTCCCTTTGTAGCAGGACCATCATATGCCACCACGTGTTTCTCGATCTTCTCATTTCTTTATAAATAAATAAATAAATAAAAAATTCAAAATTCACCATCATACATAAATTTTGAATTATTATAGTATTAGGGAGAGTTTTGAAATTGTAAATAGAACTATGTTTGAATGAAATATTTTAATAACAGAAAATATATTTAAAAAGAATTTGAAATGATTTAAACAAAATTTATTATTTAGATAAAAAATATAAAAAATTATTAAAATGGTGTAAAATTATAAAGTATTTTATTTAAATTAAATTTTAAAAATTTTAAATGATATAAAAAAAAAAATTTAAAATTGCTTCTTTATTATTAATACAACACTTCTACAAATGTTAAATTATGTATTATTAATTTTTTAAATTTTACGATATAGTCTTCATATTTTATAGAAATTTTAAATTTAATCTCAAAATTTTCAAACGAATTTTTTTTAATAATTTTTAAATTTTACAAATTGATCATTCAAAATTTCAAAAACTACAAACTAATTTCTATTTTTAATATTTTAAATTTGATTCAAAAATTTTAAAATGTATAAAAATGATCCAAAAATTCAACAATAAATAATTTTAATACTCATCTAAATTAAAAAATTAAAAAATAAACGAATTTCAATTAAATAATTTAAATTATTTCAAATTTTAAATTTTATAAAAAAATCACAATTAACTCATTCAAACACTTTTTCTTAAGGTAACCACATTATAAAACAACTTTCTTATATATTAAAAAAAAAATTAGTTGATGCAAAACTTAATCACCAGTACATGCATTTTCTAATATTACTTGTCGAAAAATCTAGAAACCACAGCTAATGTTAATAGATTCTAATAAACTTTAATATATATTCACTCAAAACCTTCAAAATAAGTCAAATTTTTTTTATATCCTCAATTTATGTTAGGCCTAAGTCATAAAGCATAAAAGCCAAATAATATCATCAAGCCTTCTACACAAGCCACAAACACAAACAAGTACATTTGAGTTCCATAAACAATTTATCATCAAAAGCCTCTCCTCTCTCCAATCTCCTCCACCCTACCCACAACTTCCAAATCTCACAACATCATCATGTTGGAACAATCATTATCATCCTCACCAACATTCTGGGCTGCTCTCTACAGCTGGTTCACTCCCACTGTCTTCTTCCTCCTCCTCCAACTCGTTATCGCCACCATTTACATCACTTCCACCCTTGCAAATGCCTCCCACAAACACCACCATCAACAACAACAACAACAACAACAAGATCCCAACTTTCCACAACAACAACTATTTAGATCTCCTTCTGTTTTACAAAGACTCAAATCCATCAACCTTTACTCTTACCAAAACTATTATAGATCCCAACATGAAGAACATCACACTCCACAACCTCAACCCTACCAACATGAACAACATCACACTCCACAACCTCAACCCTACCAACATGAACAACATCACACTCCACAACCTCAAACCTACGAAAACCAAATCCATGTCCCTCAACTCGCTAGATCTCCTTCTGTTTTGCAGAGACTCAAATCCATCAACCTCTATAGTTACTTCCCTACTCAACCCTTCACTTCAAAACTCGAAAACACCAAAGTGGAAGTTAAAGAGTCAGAAGAAGACGATGTCTTGGGAGAGATAAGAGACAGCCTCGGAGGAAACGAAGAAGAGGAAGGTCATCATGTTTCTTTAGAAGAGGTTTTCATGAAATTGCAGGGGCAAGGAGGTAATTTCGCAAGGACACATTCAGACACAAAGCCGGATTCAGGGGAGGTTCCGGTGAAGTTGCCGAGGAAGATGAAGAAATCTGCAAGCAATAAATCTGCGTTTTCTCATTTCAAGGAAGATGATATTGTGGAGAGCCGCCGGCCGGCCACCGTGAAAGAGGCTAAAGCTGCCGCCATGGATGAAGACGAGTTGGTTGATTCTAAGGCGGATGATTTCATCAACAAGTTCAAACAACAGTTGAAGTTGCAGAGAATTGATTCAATTATGAGGTATAAGGATATGGTTAACAAAGGAATTAGCAAGTAAATTAACATAATAATCATGTTTATCATAATTACATTAGTATTATAATATGTTACTATTATTTGTTAATTTAGCTAATTTAGGGTTTCATTTCTCATGTAAAATTAGTAATTTTTGTGAATGCGTCTAATTCAACTGATATGTGTTAGTTGATTTAGATTGATTTAGAGTTTAAAAAAATGGTTAGTAGGTTTGTTATTTATTTAAAAAAAAAGTTTTTTAAGTAATTTTTTTAAAGTGGAATTGTGAGATTGTTGGGTTAATTTGGACTTTTTTTATTGGAAATTATTGTTTGTATTTCTATAAATAACAGAATATATGGTTTTTGTTGTTTGTATTTGATAAGGAGAGTTATTATTGTGATAAAGTATGATGATAATTTGGGAAATAAGCTATATGTTTGGCTATAATGAGTAAAGTTTAGAAAATTGACATGTTTGAAAATTGTGGCAATGCAACAAATTATAGATACTAGTTGGGAAGTGTGAACTTGCTAGATGTGTGTGGGTCAGCTTGATTTTGTTGAATTTTTTAATTGAATTAATTTAGTTATGTTTGTTTATTTGGATATATTTGACCTTTGAAGTGAGTTATATATGGTTTATTATGTTAGGAAGTTTTATGTAACATAATTCAAATACTAATAAGTATGACTTTGAAATAAGTGATTAGTAGTAATAGTAATTTTGATCACTTTCCTTTGACAAAACAGTAAGCACTGTTGTTAAAAGAGCAAACAACAATTAAATTGACTTTTCTAAAAATAGTTTAATGGTTGAAATAATTTTTAAATAATTTGACAGAACTTTCACTATTACTAGTACATGTCTTCATCAAATGGTGTTTGGTTCTATATTAGAACACTTAACAACCATAGATTTTATAAATATCTTATTGTTGTGAAGGTTCTGTTTTGGTACATAGTGCCGTGTTTGTGATAATAATTAGGGTTGGTGAAAGTAGAAGAAAATTAGTGATTACGCAAATGACTTATCTTTCTAATTAATTGGTGTTATTATCAAATTATCAAATGGAGTTTTTTTTTCCTAGTAGAGACTATGAAGTTTTAAATGGTTAAAAAAGGTGATTTATAAAAAATAAAAAAATAAAGAACAGTGAAAAGTGGAGGGAAGACAAGTTGGCTATGTGCGAGTACAGTTGGGTAGCAGAGTGAAATCAAAGAAAAGAAAGAACTAGTATTATTAAATTCATTATTGGCATCAATGAAGGGTTTGTTTGGTTGTGTTGTTATGTGGACGGTGAAAACGTGGTTATCCCTATATTTAAGGATAATTGTAATGTTTTCCACATGCTATATAATCGACATAATACGTACCTTTGTGATCTTGTTTTCTGAGATGCCAGTCATGTCATGTTAGATTTGCGTAATTTCTTCGCGTGGCAGTTGGATTGTCAGAACTCAGAACAAGAAAGAACCGTGTACTATATTTGAATGAATTATCTTCATTATTTTATGTTTAATGTAAAATCAAAATATAATTCAATATAAATAAATATAACTATTTTACAAAGTTTTCTTCTAAGTTTATATACTAAATCATTAATAAAGGATTTAAAACATCATTTTAGAGTTTGCGATGTTGTTTGAATCCATTTTAAGATAAAAGTTTATTTGATTTAAAGATAAATTTATTATAATTTGATTCGGTTTTAAAAAATTGATATAAAAAATCTAATTTAATCCGATTTAATTTCTGACAGTTTAATTTAAATTGATTTTTAAATATTTAATTTATAAAATATATTTTATATTAAGATTATAAAAATGCGAGTGAGTAATAAGTAATAAATTTGATATAATATATAAAATATAGTATATTAAAAATTAATATTACAAAATAGAATATTCGATTATGGTCAAAACAAATCAAATAATAAAAATGAATAGACATCTAAACACATTCAATAATATTTAGTTTTTTTTGCAATTTTTTTTTTTAATTTTTTGGGCCAGTTTGCAGTTTTTATTTAGATCAGTTTGAATTTGAACACCTTTAGTTCATAATAATGGTACCTCTTAAATTTATTGATATAGTTTTAAGAATGTTGCATGGTGGAATTAGATATATGAGATGAAAGAGGAATGAGATCTTCCAAACAACGGTGAGTGTTTTTGGTGCAGCGGAGCGGAGTGAACCTTCAAAGGTAATACTCTTACGTTTAAGTTAGTCAAGTATTCGAGAAGCGGGTAAGAATGGAATTGAAATTATATATAACAAGCGACTAAAATTACTCCCGCTTAACACGATGCGTTGTGTGGTTCGTCGTTTGATTAGATATGCGGGTAGGAGATAAGTTAGAGGTTGGGATCAGATGCTTCGTTCTTGGATGAGGTCAATTGCATTGAGAATGAATACGTTAAATGCCCATCTTGTAACTACAACATTTTGTGGAACAAACTTGACGTATATTTCTAGGTTAGATAATGATGATGTCCCTATTTTTAGGATGTTTTAGTGTTTGAATAGATTGAGGTGAGATTGCGGTTGTTGGTGGCACAATTGTACTTTTCGATGCCATCTAACACTTATCGTGTGATACTCTTGAGACTTGAAAATTCCTTTGTTTCCATGCAGTTGCTTCTATTTTTCATAAACAATTCTCGTTGATTATTGCTTTGACGTCTTTATTGTGTCTCTCGAACGAACCTTATTCCTGCGACCTACCAAGATCATTTCTTTCAAGATAACGACCAAAGTTTCTTTCTCTTTTTTACTTGCTTCCCCTTTTGATAGGGTTTCTTAAGAAGATGGCTATGGAGGATTTGAAGGAAAACGTTGTGGCTGAGGATGGAAAGGTGTCTAGTAGCTTTGATTTTAGGGAGGTTGTTAGAGGTTTATCTTTTTCTTCTTTACCTCTAATGAATCCAATTATTATAGATGACTTTAAGTAGGAACGCAAAGGCCAAACTTATATTAGAGCATATCATCATCCTTTTGATTGTAACCTCACATACAATGAAGTGATATGGTGGTTTGAATCTTAATCTCGTACTTATACTTACGGTCATTCTTTTTTGTTTGTTGGTAGTAATCCTGTTATGGACCATCAAGCTCGTTAAGAAACCTGAAATACAATGAAGGGTAGTTTGATGTGTGGGTGGATCAGGAAACGTTAGACACCATATCCATCTTCTTCGTTGAGGATGGGGTGGATCATGCTTTCACCAAGGTGGGTGCCCCTCGGATTGAGGAATACTTCCTCCTGAATGAGACAAGAGAGTGTGCAATAAGTTTAAGGGTGTATTATCCCTCTTCATGAGTGTTCCTTTTTAGTTACTTTGAGGTGGATGTTCTTAATGATTTGGGAGTTTCCCTATCATAATTGCACTCGATGAGTTAGGCCTACGTCAAAGTCGTATAGTACTTGTGTGAGTATAAGAAAAGTGTGCTAACCTTGACACTTTTTTCCACCTTTTCTAATTTCAACATTGGTCGACTGATTCGACACTGGTTCAATGCTTACTTTCACTTGGGAAGTATTAGAAGATGTTCAAAGTTTACGCTGATAGTCTTAAAATTTTCCAAAATCGGTACTACTTGGTTACTCCTCCCTATGAGGTTGCTCATGTGAGTATGTGTAATGTCCAATTTTCGAATAAGTTTCCAAAATTTTAGTATCAAAATCATTTCATGGCTAGGGCCGGAACTTATGACTACCTTTGTGACAATCGTCTCAATAGAAGGGTCATTTTTGAAGAATTTGGTTGCCTTTTGGGAAATCTTGGATTTTGTCGATAATGTCGTGTCTTTGTGGGACAACGTTGAAGAAATAGAAGATACACTATATAGATACACATTTTCTAGAGGAGGTTAACGCCAAAAAAAGGAGAAACGATATATCTTCGATGAGTTTTGTAGGAGGTTTCTTTCTTCATGTTGTCATTTCAAAGTAATGTCTCCATGATTTATTTCTTTTCCACTTGTAGATAAGATGAAATATCACAAAACAATACTTTACTTGAAGAAGGCACCTAGAGTTATGCCTTCGTTTTCAGAGGTTGTTGCTTTTTCGGTCCCGGGCAGAGTCCAAACTCTGGATAACCATGACTCACTTTATTCTACGTGCTCTGACTCAGATAGAGGTGTGAGGCATTTCTAATCAGCCTATGTCGGGGAGCACCTTACATTAACCAAGTGACACCAAACATAAGAGGAGATTAGGTGAATTGTGATATTCAAAATTCTTGATTAATTTTAAAAAATTTTACTTTTAAAATCTTTAATGTTAGCGGATATGAAAAAAGATGAGATAAAGAGAGATACACAACATAAATAAAACAATTAAGGAAAATAAAGACATAAGAGTTAGAGAGGGTTATACAAATTTGACATGAAAATGAATGACTTAAATAGTCTTTTGATCCTTGTAAGTTTGCGACTTTTTTATTTTAGTCCCTATATTTTTTTTCTTTGAGTCCCTATATCTCACTTTTGTGTTGGCGTTAATCCTTGAGGTTATAATTTTGTTTAAAAAAGATGATTTGGCTAACGGCGCACACATGAAAATAATTTATATTTTTGTGTGGTTAATACGTGGAAAACCTAGTGGAGGGGCCTTGAAAAGTAGGACTAAATCCAAAAAGGACACCATTTTGCACCATGTTCGTCTCTTCTTCCTCTCTTCAAATCTCTAAATCGTCTTTATAGATTCAACCATGGCAACGTCATTTGTAAGTAATTACTCTGAGTCTTAAATCTCAATTTGTGGTTGCAATAAAGTAATAAGGATGTTCATATCAAATTAAACTGTAAACCTTAAAGAAGATTCTAGAAATGTTCTAATTTAGGATTAGGTTGCAAGCTATTCATATGAGATAATGAACTTGAATGCAACACATCAACTAAACACAAAAACTTAATCGGATGCAATTGCTCAGAGGTAGTTCAAGAAATAGCTTGCATCATTAAAGATCTTGAAGCTAGGAAAAAAGAGAAGATGAAATTGAAGTTAGAAAACGAAAGGAAGAGGACCAAATTGTT